AGTTTTGGAAGAAGCAGTTCTATACACCGGCCACTGTTAGACTGGTGAGGACGCGCTCGGTGCCGTGTGTTCCAGACGTCTGCGCTGTCGATGTGGATGAGTATACCAGTGCAAAATGGTTGAGCTACGTGAAACAGCGGAACACATTTAGGTGCAGGTCTTTTACTTGTCACAAGTCCCAACTACCATGATTTGCGTGCATTTATAGAATAATCATCATGCACTGTGCATGCATACACAATAAATAATTGTACACAGACAAGTTAAGTTGGTTAAGATCTGCATATTTTCACCTTTGAAGCGCTGTTTGTACCAATGAACGTGATGAGTTCAGCTGGTTAAACAAGAAGCGGCTCCGTAGGAAAAGTAATAACTGGAAAAATGCTAGTCACATAGCCAGTGATGATGATTTAGACGTACGCACTACGCACTACCTTGTCCCTTTTCTTCAGAAAATGCTACAGACATTACCAACAAGTGCGTGCCAGTCACATACTGTGTTTATCAGTTCCTTCGTTTTAATGGTTCACTTGATTTTTTGTAATTAAAGAGTATAAAGGTGACCGTGCGTGTTTCCATGTGGATTGTAAACAGCTTTCGAACGGCTACGTTCCACTGAGGTAATAGTAACATTACATCACATCACAAATTAAGGCAGCATGTTCAAACATCTGTGCATTGTTGAGGCTTATGTCGATGTAACAGTGAATGTGTGAACATCGCAGGTTAACACTCTTCTACTCCCTTTTACAGACAACATGCGGCTGCTTGTGCTCCTTACAATCTGCGCTTACGTCAAAACCCAGGATTATAACGACCTGGTCACCTTGGCTCTGGGGGGCACCGGTGATAGTGAGTATATAGCGATGCACAGCTTACAAAAGCTCCCGATAGCAAATGGCTGAGTTTGCCACGGACGTATATCACAAGTATCCTGGGAGGCTCCAAAATAGAAGATAATTTATCCACACGCCTTTTGCAGTCCACGAAAATGCGTATGATCAGTGCGCTAGAAATTTGCATTACAGAATCGATCAATTTATAATCAAGTACGGTGTGATGGTTGTGACATGTGTGTTACGACAAGCGCGCGTCCCACGTCCTTTCGCTTTAGGCGGCTAGCTCGTTTTCTATTCGAGGCCGGCTCAAACGGGACGAGGGGGGTGGGGAGGGGGACATTCATCGCCCTCCAGTAGATAGCTGGGGCACCAACGTGTCGGACGGTGTTGGAATGGGAATTAAATTATAACTGTTGCCTACATCATGCACGGTTCCTTCGGCGCTTGACAATGCATTAGTGCCAGTGTGGGAACAGGCACGTTGGTACATGAAATTGTACATCACCAACTGCACGAACACGACAAGGAGGTGGTTGCACGTGTTGCACTCGTTCATTTATCATCTCCGCTCCTGACAACATAGGTCACTGACCTTGGATGACTTCATATGACCTTACATGTCCCCACGTGACCCTCCGTGACCCAATTATCCTTTAGATTGATATCACATGTTTTCAGTGCAGTATTTGAATTCCGCTTCCAAAATCACCTCATAAAACCGCCTATTTGAGCTCAGCATGTTTTGCAGAGTGCACCGATATAGGTAAGTCGTGACCTAGCCCACGACCACGTGCTCTGTGATCACACAACGGCTGTGCATCTGAGTTAGTACTCTTTTCCTCGTACATAAACGCCAAAACTACACAAAATCTGTACATCTTTGCAACATTTACGAAACATAGCAAAACTCGACCTGACTTCAGGTCACTGAAGTCGTCTGTTTGTAAGAATGTGAACTAAGCAAAGCGCAGGTAGTATCATGTTCTACTACCATAGCAACCTTGACCTAAGGCAAATGACCCACAAAAAGTTTTGCGCGGTAATTTTTGAGAGGTCGAACTCTTTGACCTAATTTAGGTCACTAAAGTTTTGGTCTTGGTAGATCAAAACTGTCTGATCAAGTAGAACATCAAATTGATAGATGAATAGGTACTACAAATTTCGTGGCGCTAGGAGCGTTCATTATGGCCTACACACGAGACTGTACGGGGACGTCAACTCTCCCCTCCCGCGGCCGGGTGCAGGTTAAGGTCAGCTGGGTTTAGAGGCCGAATGTAAATGCAGAGGAGAGGACAGGGAATTGGAGGCCGCGGTCCCGCAGCAGCATGGCAACCCCCTTGGTGTCACCCTTTCCCGCCCGCGCCCTGCGGGCGTCCTCGCGTGCGTGTCGTGCGTGTCCTCGCGTGCGTGTCGAACAACCGAGTGCCGCTTCCCGTCAGCTGATCGCTGCGTCGATTTCAGGGTGCGGCAAGCGCTGCGACGTCGGGTACTCATGCGAAGTGCAGCAGTGCCGCTGCGAAGTCTGCATCAAAGGTAGGTACGACTTCACCGAACGACCCCGCGGCTGAGCCGGACGCCAGGCGCCGGGAAACGCGTGGCGCGCGGCATAGGAAAATGTACACCCATGGATACCAGTCTGCCGGTTATCTCATCAGACGCTAAATCGCTGCCAAGACGAGCACAGGTGCAGAAAGATTGTGTACGCCGGGCTGATCAAGTACTTCTGTCCCTGCCGTGATGTGGGAATGCCGAGCCCCGCGACCGGGCAGACCCGACCAGTCATGCTAAGGCAGACTTCTATCGCTAACCTCGTTCTTTGCGCTGCCTTAGTTTTGAACTGCATGTTTGCTTTGAAAGCGTGTGAAAATAAGCATTCGTTCAACATGACATGCTGCCTGTTTCAGACAAACCCACGTGCAAAACTCTCAATTGTGCAAAGAATGAGAAGTGTGTGGATACGCCTGCGGGCCCCGTCTGCAAGCCGCGTAAGTCTTCATGCCGTGAATGTGGATACTCATGTCCCTCAACTGTAGCCTTCATAATGTATAGCACAGATCTGACGCCAAAGGCCAAAAGCGCACCTCGAGATCGTTAGCATTTTGATGAAGATAGCGTTGCTTTTGAATAACACACGAAATATGCTTCCCTGACGTCACGAACTTCGAGACGCGTCTTTCATCCTCGCCGTCGACAAGGATAAGCTGAGGTGATAACTACTTTCGCCCGCCGGCAATATTAAGACAGTGTCATGTCCGTAAACCGTCAGCCATACAAAACATCACGCTGATTGTCCGCATGCACCACAGCACGTTAAATTGTCGCTTTAACTCCCACCTAAGGCCTCAATGTCTGATTGCAGTGACCTGTAACGACATTTACTGCGCCGCTGGCGAGCTGTGCAACGAACTGCCGGATGGTCCCGACTGCGTCCCAGGTCAGCACTTCTGGTGGTGCCGTCAATCGGCTTGGTATGACATCGACTGTGATGGACGCTAAAAACATACCACCAAAGGCTTGGTTTCAGATAAACGAGGCTGCGATTTAACTTCTGTCATCTCCCGGATGGCCTTTCATATGCCTGATCCCACTGTTACTAATGTTGCCGTGGAATAAGGTTAGAGGGTCTCAGTCGGAGGCATCTCTCCTCACTCCTGGGGCGGGGTAGTGTCTGCTTAAATCTGTGAAGCGGGAACCCGCAGCGTGCGCTTGCCGACCGTCAGCACGTGCCACCCCGGCCCTGTCCGCCCCCAGACGTGCCGTCGTGCGAGGGCTTCTACTGCCGCCGTGGCACCAACTGCTACGTACGCGGCGGCTCGCCCATCTGCCTGCCGAACACGTGCATGGTGCGCGTGTGCGAACCCGGCCTGACCTGCATTGACACCGTCGACGGCGCCCTCTGCCGACGCGGCACCAGTGAGTACACGCGGCGGCGCGTCCGCCGCGGGCGCCACCCAGCGGACGAGTGTAGGTGGCGCCACTGTGCGAAGCGCGTTCGGTGCGGGCCAGCGGTAGGCTGGCGCTGTGGTAGTTGGCATTAAGCTCGGTCTTGCGGTGCCTGGTCAACGCGTGTGGCAGGCGCGTTAGACGTACGGCGTTCCTATGCATCATTCCCAACCACGCACCCCCTCCATCTGAAGAACCCAAGCTGAGGGGTGGCTCACACCCAGCCACAAATTGTCATCTGAGCGTGTCAGCACGGCAACCCAGAATGGGGTGACTTGGCTCTGTCCGCAGGACGCCTTGGTCGTCCATCTCTCCTACCAAGTATGCCTTATTGCGACAGACATTACTTGCGTCGAGCATGTGTTTAGTTACATGAACAGCAAACGTGCATTTGCATCGCGGTTCTCACAGCACCGGGGGGTTCCAATGTGTGCGCGCAATCTGGACCAATCAGGCGACACGGGCGTGCTCAGCTCGCCCGCGTCCGCTGCCGGCCGTTGTCGCGCCGGCAGTGCCCGAACTGACCTGGCCTAACCCAGCCGCTTGTTCCGCAGAGACGGGCGGTTGCGAGGGCCGCTACTGCCCCACCAACAGCAAATGCGTGGACGAGCCGCCACTTGGGCCACACTGCGCCCTTATCTGAAGCCGTGGCGAGCGCGCGCCGACCGCGGCCAGGCGCGCGTGCCCGGGCACGGGCCCCGACCGGGCCGTCCAACCCGAGGCCCTGTGATATTGTCATTACGCGGAGCCTTGTATGCGAGGGCGAGGTTGGGTGGTTAGTCGCCATAAACGAGACATGGAACGTGTGGGGCCCGCGTTTCGTAGCTCGTGTGCAGAATCACGCTCATCAAAAACCGCAACTCTTCCCAACCCGAATTCGTGAAAGGTCTTGACGAGACCCGATGGTACAAACGGAAAACAATGGGCTACCGGGTGGCGCTGAGCGGCATCCTCAAGGCGAGCATGCCGTAAAAGTCCAGAATATCCAGTCTCGAATTTTCTGACGCAATTATCGCTGCACTTCGGATTCAGATAATTACAGTCACGTCATATTCTGTAACGATAATTGGCAGAAAAAAAACAAAAAGATGACGGACCACAACGTTGGGTACCAGCTTCCAGAGCCACCTGCACCGGTCCGGCACGAGACCCCAGGTGCAGCTACGGAAACCAATGAACACCGAAGCGGGGACACAGTCAGAATTGTGTTTGTGAAAAGTGTTCGTGAAAAGTGTTTATTCCCTGCCGAAAACGTTCAAAACGACTAACAACTGACTATAAAAATATCATCGGTACCAGGTACACATCGAGGGCATCGAGAATAGCGTCACAGCTTTTTTCGCGCCAGCGTTCGACTCTACACCGACGAGCACGACCAGCCGCGAGTCGAGCAGAGACTGCTACACCACCCACACCAGGTTCTTCCACACAGTGAACGGCGAGAAATTGGTTTGTTTCCAACTAGAGCCTCTCGCAGACCAAGCAATCAGCCTGCCCGTGGTGAAAATGCCATCATCCCACACTTTGTCTTGAGATGTGCTCGACGGCCGGATCTCAAGTCCTCCTCTACGTCCAAAAGCTTCCTTGAGCCGAGAATTCCGCCCCAATTCCAAAGTTCCGGTGTATGTGCCAGGTCTTGTCTTCACCTCCGTGAACAGTGAGCAGAACCAGACGTCTGAGCCAGGTCCTGCCCTCTCATCGAGCCTGAGAGTTCTCGCCTGGCTCAAGCACACAGCTGCAACCCCAGGGCACCGGCCCGAAGCCAGCGCCGCACGGCGCGGCTTCGCAGGCTAGGCGGCGGAGAAGAAGTCGGTCAGCACCTTCTCGATGTCGTCGCTCGAGTAGTCCACCACGCTGAGGTCCTTGGACGGCGGCATGCCCCGGATCATGGCCGACAGTCCTGACCGGCAACAACACACGTTAGACCTCGTCGCACGTGCACATCCGTCCATCACGCAGCGAGCTGAGCCGGAGGCAAGCGCGCGGCTAGATCCATGCGCCTAACAGGGAGCTCTAAAAAATGCCCTGGCAGCTTTGTCTCAGCTGTGGCGCGTCCAACCGTGAAACAGAAGGTGACCTGTCACAACGGCAAGCACGAACAACCCACCGTTGATGGCCTTCGCCGTTTTACTGAATGTTACCTTACTTCCAGTTAACCATGATGACACTAGAAAAACATCGTAACGCGGGCGACACGCAAACAGCGGACAAAAAGGACGCAGCGTTCCGACATTCATCCAGTAAGGTGTGTAGGATGTGAAAATAACCTTATGCTGCCAGAATCCTGGCTCTTCGGCCGTCTGCGCGTGCAATTCGCCAGCGCTAATCCGTTGCCCCTTGACCTCGAACGCTGACATCTGACTGGCCCGGCCCGGTTGTCTAGCAAGAGGCGCGTGAATGCAGGGTTGACCGCCGCCGGGCCCGATGCTGATTGGCCGATTTTGAGCAAGGGGAGGGGCGACAGGCAGTGAGCCCAAAGCCGGGGTGAAAAAGCATGGACAAATATCGCCGTCCCTGCCACCCTGTGGCCGAACGTTTGAACATCGAAAGGACAGCATTCCGCCATCCCTCCTTCGCTGAACGAACGACACCCTGCCGAATGGAGCCCGCCGTCAGCCTTACTTTTATCCGGCTGCGGCCGGTAAAGACAGAGGATGCGTCGACCTCCCATGGCGACCCCGCGACCGATCTCGTAGCCCACCCCGAGCGACGGCTGCGTCACCTCGGCCACGATCGTGTCGCACTCCTCCAGCAGGCTGGAGAGACGGCACGCGTGTCAGGCCGCTGTTCTCAGCACGGTGGCAGCAGTCGCCTCAGGTCAGTCAGAACATGGACAAGGTGCTGGTGAACATGGCCATATTCGGTTCTTGTGTCGTTTTACGAACAACGCGACTGGCATCTGCTCGCGACGACTGAACAAGAACGTACATATTCATGCATGCATACATACATACATACATACATGCATAATACATGTATGCATGCATCCATGCATGCTGACATACATACATACATACGTACATACATACATGCATACATACGCATGTAGCCGCGAATATACTGATGATGGAAGACACGTGGGATAGTGACAAACAATCCCAAACTGCACCAGTTTCTTGACATGGAGAAAACACAGGCATCAAAAGGAAAGGCATAAACGTGCAACATCACAAATAGCATTGTCTAATAAGCAGATTTGTTACACCACACCCCACTTCTGCATGACCCCAGCTCTCTCACTGACCTGATATCTCTGTCGTGAATGTCGCGGTCGGTGGAGGCCTTGCCCTCGTCCGAGCCTAGGTGGGTGACGGCCGGGTCGGCCACAAACTCGGTCAGCACCGTGCCGTACTGCTTGAGGGCAGCCACGATGCGACCATACAGAGCCACGTCTTGCCGACCAGCGCGGATTGAGCCGCAGAAATAGATCTTGCGTGACATCTGGGCACAATAAAGGGGGTTACCAACTCTGGTGCATGTTTGGGCCTGGAAAAGTGGAGAACTATAACAACCAAACAAAATTTCATGTCAGCCAGCCCCTGGCCAAAAGATTCCACATGTGCACATCAAAGGAGAGCTGGATGTCCAGCTGTGAAAATGGTATGGGCACTGCACCTGCAGATCATCACTTCACAAGTCTGTGATACAGGGAATGGCTGTACATGCTACTTTCTCAGGCATTGTAGGGGTGGACACATGATAATGTAGGTGGTAAAACAACTTGCATACCAGTGCAGTTTGTATTATATTTCCATGCCACCTTTTTTCATTGCAAATAAGTCCACACATTTGAACCACAGGAAAATGACAGCCATTCTTATCACACAACATTTTAGCCAGCCAATCATGACCTTGAGGGTAACTTGGATGAAGAGACTGATGAGTAATCTTGTTTCTAAGCATGACATTTCCCCTGGTAACAAAGACATTTTCACTCAAATAGAATGCCATTCTCCATCCAACTCCTATAATTTTGACTTAAGACCTTCCCCACTTTCCCAACTTTATTACATGACAAACATGACTCGCTAGCCCTATAAAAACTACCACTAACAACAAAGGGGGAGCTACACAGAATGGACTGAATCTACCACATACATTTTCTCCTCTATTTTGGCTAAAACAGGCAAACAAGTTGGACTTTAAAGCTGGCTTTTCACCATTAAAAATACTGAATGTCTGAAATGTTATTTTTGATTTCACTCTTCTGACTTTTACTCCTTGACACAAAATACTTTAAGCTAAAATGCTGGTGCAAAAACACTCTTAATATAGCATTATAACTCAATCTACATAGACCCACTATGTGGACACCAGAAGGTTGCAGTCATTGTAGCATAGGCAGCCTATCTGTGGGCAAATAAAAGGATCCAATGATTAAATCAAGCTGCCCATTTCTAGGTATATCTCAATTCACAATTATGGGTTTAGTGGACCTTGATATAGTCCACATATGCAGAAGGACAAAGTGCACACATACCCAGCTAAACCTTGGTAAGGGCATATGTTAACTTTTTTGAGCAACCACTTAAACTTTTACAGAAAAAGGCAGCAGCTTACTGCACTGTGCAGATGCACAAAACATACAGCATAGACCCCAACCTTGCATCAAACACTACACAAATGTTGTGAAATATGAACTTTCTCTTTGAATCTGCATATACCAGGCATCAACTGAAGATGCAATGCTACATTAGTACATGAAAATGGATGAATGGATGACTCATCTACCAGCAGTTACATATGCTATATGTTTAAGAACTGGCTTATAACCCAATTTGCAAACTATTGTCAAACTTTAATAAGACCTTGTTGGTGCACAGGTTGGGCACAACTTCCAATCTAGGAAAATTTATCAAAACTTGATGACAGCAATCATAAGGTATCATAACTTGCTAAATCACACAAAACAGGTGGGATCACAGAATCACTATCTGTTGTGAAAGATCATGCTGTTTGGGGTAAGTGTTAGCAGACTCTGCTGCAACTGGGGCAGCTTACTACACTTTTCAGGGCTGGATTCCTCTCTGCCCAAAACCATTGTGTATGATTAAAATGCTTCCATTTACAAATCTGCAGCATACAGAGAGGAAAAATATCACACTGTTACTGTCTGCCATGGACGGCTTAAGTTTCCTGTACAGCAGGGGGAGCTCCATCTGCACCAACTGAGAACAATTTTTCTGCATACTAGTCATGGCCGGTTGAAAAATCCTGCGTTCAAACATTCTTAAATACCCAAATTTTAACAGGGCCTACCCAAAAAGTTACTTTCCCTTGTAATATGGGCACAATAAAAAAGCTGCACACCCTGAACTGGGCAGCTTCCAACACAACCAGCACCAATGTTAGTGCCAACTCAACCTTATATCACATCACAACACCGTCCCACCGTCATAAGATGTTTTTCACACACATACCTTGAGTTTACGTCTCAAAACTGTTCAAAATAGTGAGCTGTTCACTTGCTAATACGAAGCAAAACCGCTCCCAGGCGACGTTACCGAAACCGAACTTGACTGCAGACCGGACCAACCAAATCAGCGCGGGCTCCTGATAGAAACGTTGTCGAACTGGATGGTGAAAACCAAGGCCAAGATTGTTTGGCAGCTCTCGTACCATCCTATATATGACGTCATGATCCCTTGACGTCATAAGATCCACCGCATAGCTGAGGGGATGAGGGCGGTCTGGTAGCCCTGGGTATGACTGCACTTGTTACGTCATTTGAGAAATTGCTGTTTTGCTGTATACCTCCGTTTTCCAACAGCTTGCAACGAAAGCCCTTCAGCTAATAATTGAGATGGCGGAGGGCGAGTTAAACGTGGATAGCCTGATTTCTCGGCTTCTAGAAGGTAACATGGCTTGTTTTTTTCTGGCATAATGTGTTTGGTGTGATGTTTGTCTTTTCCTGTGCTCAAAATATTTTGCGATGTCGCGAAAATGCTGTTAAAATCACATGAGATTGTGCGTCGTTATCGTCTCGTGAACAACAAGACTAAGTATAAACAACCATTTGATGTACCCGTTTATATGCACATGTTCTAGTTTAGATGTTTATAAGACATGAGGCCTGCTGAGCATCATTATGTGAGCTGTTTCATCAATGCAGTATGCTGGCTTGCCAAAATTTGGAGTCGCTGTTGACTCTGTGGATTGATAGGTGCATTGTTGTGTGTCTGACCTGTCTTCGATCAAGGTTGCACATGTTTGTCAACATTCCGGTGCTGTTCTGCTTAAAAACCTGTCCACCAAGCCAGATTCATCAGTGGTTTTGATGGTCTGAGACTCTGAATGTGTTGCATGCATGTTCAATGCTTGTTTTATGCAGAACTTAAGGAATTGACATTGTTAACTTGAAAAATGGTCTGGTGCATCACATTCAGTTGAAGTATTGGCATTTCATGCACAAGCTGCTGATGGTGGTCAGCTCAACTTGATGCACTGAAATCAATTATGTGAGCTGAAGTTGTTCAGTGAGCATGGTTGCTATGATGGCTATGCTCAGTGTAGCTTTTTGCAGACTGGTTAATATTTAAAAAAGTGAGTTCCGAAAAAGTGAATTCTAATGCACAGATTAAAAGAACTCATCGCATGAAAAGCAATGTTGTTAGTGAATGAACAGAAAAGTATCATTCACATGACTGTCAATTTTAAGGAGTAGCAAGTGGTTGAAAGAATGCCATTTCCACCTCTTTATGCACTTTGTCATACTATTGGCTATGTTGTTAGCAACAAATCCAAAACTGCTTTTAGTTATTCTTAATCTCTGTAAATGGTTTCAAGTGATACAGGTAAATTGATTATGTATGCTGTTTCTTGAAAAGATATCTAGGTGTACGTGCCGGAGTTGGGTGGGGGTGGGAGGTTTGGTTCGAGTTTGTCATGATGATATGTAAAGTACATATACTTTTTGGTGTAAGTGTTTAGCCTTGCACCTAATTTTTATAGGTTCACCATTCATTTTAGTGCTTCAAGAAGCCCTGACTCCACCATCAAACTGAAGTTTGGCACTAGCAGCTGAATGTGCTGTGATGCTTAGAATATTCCTTACTGCCCTTGATTTCTTCAACTTAAGTGTGGCACCTGGCACTGACCATAGGCCATCCCTGTCAGGGCAGGGATGGGCATGTTCAAAATGTGGCTCAAGCCCAATGTGCAACATATAGTTGGATGCAAGGACAGATATTCTGACAAAGTGAGTTACAAATATATCATTTCCAAATGGTTGTGTGATAGCTAGATTTGGACTATCGGTTGAGCACATCAAATTATCAAGTGCTACTGTCAACATGTGAGAAGATATGAGAGGAAGCTCTGGTGCTGTATGTAGAGCCTCTTCCATGCTTGTGATTTTGTTGTCCTACAGCCATGCAAGAAAAACAATGTGGGGAGTTGGTGTGGCCAACAGCTGATACCATGCATGATTATAACACATTTTCATGGTGTTATATCATCATATGGCATGATGTGTATTGCTGCACTTAAATGTAGTTTTAAGCCTTCTTTGATTTCTCTGCTACATCTCCTATAGTAAGGTCAGTTTCTAGGAATCTGCACCTAATGCTGCTGCTAATAGCTGAGCATCTAACACAATGCTCTGTCTGTCGTTTTACTCCACTTTGGTCGGAGAATTAATGTGGCCAGCAGAAGGTAAGCCCAGCTTGTGCTGCCCTCACTGGCAGTGTTTGTAATTGTCCATGTGTTCCCACAGTGTAAGGATGAGGTGTTCTCCCAGTGCCAGGATGATGTGTTCCCCCAGTGTGAGGATGATGTTTCCCTGTGGTGCAAGGGATGATGTGTTCTTTCATTGTGAGGATGATGTGTTCTCACATTGTGAGGACGATGTTTTCTCTCAGTGTGTGGATCATGTGTTTTTCTGGGGGGAGGAGGACATTTTGGTCTCGGTGTAGGATGACATGTTCCCTCAGTGCGAGGAATGTCGGCCAGGCAAGTCAGTGCAGATGTCAGAGATGGAGGTGCGCAGCCTGTGCCTTAAGTCGCGTGAGATCTTCCTGCAGCAGCCCATCCTCCTGGAACTGGAAGCACCCTGAAAATATGTGGTAAGAACACAGCACTCATGGGGTGCCTTTCTGATCTCCTGCTGGCTTTGTGGTATTTGAACTACGCATATAATATGCAAAAGCAACGTGTCCTCATGACGGAACTCAAAGGCGCAGCTTTAGAGCACATGGCCCTCCTTTGACGGGTGCAAGATGACTATACAGATGGTTCGAAGATGGATGCAGGTGTAGGGTGCGCTTTTGGTGTGCGGATCCACCACACGGTCATTCACACTGCCTTCACACGCGGTCGGTCTACACTTCCGAGCTTATAGCCATTAGCAAAGCTCTCTGTTTTGTTGAAGTGGACGATAGCAATCTGCATTTAATTCTTTCCGACTCCTTGAGCAGCCTGCTGGCTGTTAGCGGCTTCTCCCCGTCGAATCCACTGGTTCAGGACATTCAATTCTCGTCTTAGCTCACTGGAGCGAGCAGGAAAAACGGTCGTTCTATGCTGGATCCCAAGTCACGTGGGGATATGCGGAAATGATCTTGCTGACAGCTGCAGCAAGCGCGCTACGACAGGGACTAGAATTCCTATAACACCACTACCTGCTCAAGACATGTACCTCCCGCAGTGTCGCTGTTTGGTGCAGAAGCGATGGCAGTTCTACTGGAACTCGCTGAGCGCCAGCAAGCTGCAGTCGGTGAAACCCCGCATTGGATTATGGCAGTCGTGCTTTCGGGACAATAGGGTGAAAGAAGTTGCCCTTTGCCGGTTACGCATAGGTCACACATATGCTACGCACCGTCACCTGCTATTGGCTGGCGACAGACCATGCTGCGGTCGATGCTCTGATCCACTGACCGTGCATCACGTACTGGTCGCTTGCCGCCACCTTACTGCAACGAGAGCGCAGTTTTTCGGACGCCACGTCCAGAGTCGCACGCTATGCGACTTTTTAGGGGGTTCTTCGAACATCGTCGGGTTTGGTAAAGTGCTCCAGTTCCTTCGCGCTGTAGATTTTCCTGTAATCTTCTCATCATGATGCTAGGGCCAATCATCATGGCTTCTATAGGGTGACCTGATTGATGCACTTCTCTGATTGACGGCTCTGCATGAATCGATAGTTATGGGCGCTGCATGACCTCTAGCAGTCGATGGCGCCCTAAAACCCCAAATCATCATCAACTATGCATATATGCAGCGTGCAGAACAGTGTATGTCAAGCATTTTGTTTTGTACTTGTAGCGATCAAGTCATCATTGTCATCACCGCTACTTGGGCTTTGCAAAGCACTCAGCTGCTGAGGCTACAACTGGTGTCACTTGCCTCTCACCGTGGCAGGACTGGCAGGCACTGCAGGATAGCCATCAAGTGATCATGATAATTGACAAGTCATGGCATGTATGGCGCAGGCTCTGACTGTAATTCTTGGCTGCAGTGAAGTGTGATGTATCGTGTCAGGACTCTACCCTCTGCTCAACAGCTTGCTGACCTGACTGGCCCGACTCAAGCTTCTTAAATGCCTGGTGCCATCCATCAGCACTTCAAAATGCAATCTGGTAGGGTGTCCAGGATGTAAATATAAATTCATGCCACCAGAAATAAACAGCATTCCTGGTTCTCGAGCAGCTTCCTCACGCGATGCGTCGGGTCTAATCCGTCGGCCTTTGACCCCCAAACCAGACCTCTCACCAGCCTTGTCCATTAATCAAGTTGAGGCACTTAGATACTGGGTTCACAGCTGCCCGTTTTGATACTGACTTGGCCTGTATTAAGGAAGGGAAGGGGCAACAGACAAGGAACTCCAAGCTGGATGTATCACAGCACGAAAAATTCACATCCCTGTCACCCAAGTGGCTGAATATTGAAACGTCACCCTGCGTAGCCGATACTGAATTCACCTGACTAGCCTGATATGGTCTGCACTTGGGTTATATCCTCAGGCTTGGCATGGGCATGCTCTGACCCAGCTGTGACCCAGCTGACCAGATCACCTGTTCCAGCCCACTCTGAGGTGTTACATGTGGCTGGTGCATGGACAGCACCTGACAGCAACACCTGCTAACACCTTGAGCGGCACCCATGGCCAGGATGCGGACCTGCCGGGATCCAGTCGGCGCTCAGGCGACACCCAGTGTCGGTGCACAGACCTGACCCGACCTGACCTGCTCTGCTTGCAGGCGACATCCACGGCCAGTACACGGACCTGCTGCGGCTGTTCGAGTACGGCGGCTTCCCTCCCGAAGCCAACTACCTGTTCCTCGGCGACTACGTGGACCGGGGCAAGCAGTCGCTGGAGACCATCTGCCTGCTGCTCGCCTACAAGATCAAGTACCCGGAGAACTTCTTCCTGCTGCGCGGCAACCACGAGTGCGCCAGCATCAACCGCATCTACGGCTTCTACGACGAGTGTGAGCGGCGACAGGGCTTTCTTTGTATGAGTCGTGTGAAACAAGGCTGTCCTGTGTCCAAT